AGCAAGCAGGGTGATGGGGCAGATGGCAGGGAGCTGGGCAGGTCCAGGAGAGGGGTTAGGGAGATGGAGCACCCTTGGGAGAGTGGCTATGGTATGCTGTGACCCATCTGGCAGCTGCTGGAGAATCAGAGGCGAGGGCTGGGCACACAGCTGCTTTTATTGAGTGACAAGTTCCCAGCAGAGGGAATCCGGTGCTGTTGGTGGTGAGGACAGCCAGAGGTGTCAGGGAAGAAGAAGGGGCCTCAGGGGAAAGGCACCTGCTTGGTATTTCAGAGCTGGCCTGGTGCTCTAGGGCGGTTGCACAGATGGGGAGTGGATGCCGACGTTCCGCCGGCATCTGGCAGGGCCAGGGTCACCACGACAGCCTGGATACTGGGATAAGGAAGATAAATCCTGGCAAGAAGCGGAATGCCGCAGGTCAGCCCGGAAGTGTGAAGGAAGGTGGAGATAGACCCTCCTTTTGACAGCAGCGGAGGAGAGTTTGAGGAGGCGCAGGCCCTGTCGGGGAGGCCGCCCCGGCCTCTGCAGCACCTGCTGTTGGAATGTGATCCCTTTTATTTTAGTCCCCATTTTGCATCAAGGTCAGCCGTGTTGATTCAGCAGAACAGCAGGTGCCACGAGTCATCCAGCCACAGCACAGCTGGGACCAGCGCTGGTTTTCTTGTCTCCCAATTCAGGGATCTTTTCCTGAACTGTAGCTGTTTTAGTTTTCGAGTAAAAGTTCTTAACACTGTGGATTTCAATTTTAAAAGAGCCACCTTGATCATTAACCCTTTGAGTGTTCAAAGAAACTTCTGGAATGAAACGTGGTCTGACATGGACACCTAACCCCAGTAGACTCCTTCCATGGTCCCCTCGTGATCCCGGCGGCCTCCTGAGTGGGGCGAGGCTCAGCATTGGTTAGGATCGGGTACAGAAAGAAAACCAGAAACAAAGTATCGCAAGGATTTAGTTTTATGTGACGTGAAAAGTGAGGGACGCTGGACTTCGTGCGCGCTGTCACCCCAGGTAGGACCAGGCCTGTTACATCAAGAAGCCACATCAGATTTCACTCGCTGGATGATTGGTTCATCGACTTGAACGATTTCTGGGTCTGTCTGAAGTCAGCCGGGCAGATGGCTCTGTCTGGTTTCGTGATGAGCTTAGGGAAGAGATCAGTGGGATTTTCAGGACTGTGTTGGGGAGTCTAGCTTTGCCTTTATCTACTGGTGATTGTCACAAGATACTAATTCGCAAATGCACAACTAGGTACACACTGGCCCTACCTGGCCATCCAGTGACAGTGCTAGGGTGCGGGACCTCATGGGAAGCCCCGTGCTGCTCAGAAGGCAGCTTTCTGTTAAGCAGGGGTCACAGACTCGGGACCAGCAGGGCTCTGTGAGCTTCACTTGATTCAGGATCCAGGGGCTCACGTGAGGTGTACGTCTAGTCCTGGTTTGCAGACAGCCTGGGGGCAAGTGGTCTGTCTGTCTGTGATGGTCCCTGCGCTTCTTCTGAGATGCACCCACCCACACCCTGCCCCACAGCAGCCCGAGCTGCACCCCACAGCCTCCCTCCCGGGCATCACCGGGGCCAAGGATGAGCAGCTGCAAGAGCCAGGGTCTCGGCAGTTCCGTTACTCCGCCGAACACATTCATTGCAGTAACTGTTGATGCTGTAAAGACAAGAGAGTCCCACGATTCTGAGGTTTCTCCTCCAGCTGTCTCTCCTTGCGCGTACGTAATTGGGACTATCGAGTGTGTGTCCTGCTTCTTCATGTTACAGAGCGTTTCCATGCTTCTGAAATAACAGTTGCTTGTAACTGCTGCGTCGTGGTCGTTGCGTGGTTTGCGTAATCATTTCTCCCTCACTGGTTCCAGAGCAAATGTCGGACTTTTCACGATGGCAAATGACAGCACCATGCACCCTCCGTGCACCCCATTTCCCCATCTTGCTTCCGGTTTAGGCTTCATTGCTCCCTGGAAGTAGATGTACTGAGCTACGTACATGTACTGACCTTTACACGTAGTAAAGAAGGTCATGCCAGCTCCTACTCATACAGGATAGAAGTGTCTTTGTTTAGGGCAGGGACAGGCATACCCAGCTGCCTTAGGATGGGGGCTGCCCACATCAGACCAGCCATGTAACGTAGTGACGCAGACCCAGTCAGTCCATCGGTCATGTCCATGTGACTCTGAACACACAGGCTCCGGGCACTTCCCGGCTTGGCCAGTGCACCAGGGTGTCACAGTCCTGCTGGGAGGGTAACTGTCCGGACTCCACGGAGTGAGGATCCAAACTCTGCTAGTGGTGCTGGGCCCCATCCTGCCCTGGGTGCCTCTCTTCCTGAGTCTTGGGGACGGTCCTCTGCCCTTGCAGTTTGGTTAACTCCAGATATGTTGAGAGAGAAGAGACAACCCATGACAGAACGCTCAAGATCAGCACCTCCCATGTCCTCCTTCCTTGCACACTTGGCCACTTTTGTGTTTACTAATCCTAGACCACAGAGTATGTGGCCTCTGCTCAGCTTTGGTGAGGAGGGGTGGACTTGGCACTGTCCCTCCTCTGCTCGGCTTTGGTGAGGAGGAGTGGCCTGGGCGGCTTGCCTCCTCTGCTCGGCTTTGATGAGGAGGGGTGGCCTGGGCGCCGTGCCTCCTCTGCTCGGCTTTGATGAGGAGGGGTGGCCTGGGCGCCGTGC